GTATAAAAACTAGGTAGTTATTTAGATTATTTAGAGAGAGTTTACCAATAAGCTTTCACATTTATCAGAATTAAATAACATAAACCGCAAAGTAAATAGAATGCTCTGCCCGCTCACGTATTCCCTCCTTCTTACAACCTGGGATCCTTTAAAAGAGGCGTGAAGAAGCAACATGCGGGCCGGCAGGGTGAGGCCATCGCCATCCAGGATCTGTCGCTGCCCAACATGGTACATACCACGCTGGTCCCTGCCTCAGCTTAATACTACAGCAACACCTGTTCCCGTAGCATGAACATCACAATTTACACTATACTACGTTTTCTATCACGTTTAACAGTCAAACTTCATAATAATTTGACAATTAAGCGTGATAAATATCATATCGCGGTGCTCATGCTAGGGGGCCAGGGCTGCTTCAGCTCTGATAATTCTGGCAAGGCCTAAGGTTGACGAGACAACTAAACTAAGTAACTTCATAAACAACAAAACATAAAAAAAATATAAGAAATACTTCTATAATCTTAAATCGTTTCTTAAATAAAGAAATCCTATTTTTCTTACAAGAATACACTTCGTAGACTGCACACAAGCTAATCTATCTACACCCAATCATATCAGGCAGTCCTGGCCGTTAATTTTATGACTCATATTATATCACAAAAAAATGTGCATTCACATAAAACTAGACACGCACGCATACTAGACGTCCATCGTACGATGCATTGACCTATTGCCCTACTGGAAACGTGATCAAACGGCAAACGGCTGTGTGACTGAAGCACAATACATACAAGAGCAGTACCCTTAGTACGAGTTCGCGCTCACGAAAACTATCATAGTTTTCGTAATTGTAAATTATCTCTTATCTATTAGACAAGTCCGTCCGTCCGTCCGTGGTGCTGTTTCAGCGGCCAAACCGTAAGAGATAGATAAAGAGTATGTTTAAGTTATAAGTTAAGAATAGTCTGATAAGACTACAAACCGGATTTGAGTAACGTAGCATTTCCGGTTTTCGAGAAATAACGTGATTTCTATTTCAAACGAAACCACACAAAATCTCCGAAGTTCTCAATTAATTAATTTTTTTTTTTGGTGAACATTTGGTTCACTGGTTTGCTAGTGTTTCTATGGCCAATTTAGTGAAAAGGAACCAAATATACTTAAAATTTAAGAAGACGCAAATGATTTAATGATCGAATTTAAACACTGTTTTGTATTGAAAAGAAAAAAAATAAAATTAGTACCCTTAGTATGAGTGCGAGCTCACGAAAACTGTCATAGTTTTCGTAATTGTAAAACTCGTACTAAGGGTACAGTAGCGTAACTCAGCCGTTTTCTTGAAATAGATACCTACGTCTGAGCGGAGCGCTAGGGTTGGTACTTACAAAATGTAGAACATATTTGTGTAATTTTTTATTGTATGTGTATAGTTACTATTGCCACGTTACGGAATCGAAACGGACGCAGACGGCGCTGGCGGCGCGGCGCAGCTAACTTAACTCGGCCAACGACCAGTCTCGGCGGCGCACGACGTGCGTAGATTTGTCTTGGCAAGATTGATTAGCGGGCGTGTAAATGACGTTTGTCTGTGTGCGTGCGTCGATTCGGGCGCTAGTATGAAGTCGGAGTACTGCTCTTGTATGTATTGTGACTGAAGTCTGTATGTAACCTCCTCTTCGTATAATAAGTATTTTTAAGAATATTTCAGTATTTTATTAAATACCTGCTAGACCGCTGGTCCCAATAGACCGCACACCATTGCGAAAAAATAGCTTGTGTGAGATTGATAGGAAAGTAACATTCTCCCATTGACGTATAAAAACCTCCACCTTACAAAAGACTTAAATTTTCGAAACAGTCTTGTATGTGTGTTATGCCTGTCTGTTTGTCACAGTTCTATAGATTCGTTTCAAGCCATATAGGTGAGGTGGTCTGAAGTGGCATGTTTTTCTGACGCATCTGCACTGCTAGACTCCACCCACTCTAAAAATCATTAATGAGAAGTAATTTGAGGAGCCACCCACTCTGAAATGTGAAATAATTAGGGAGCTCGATGGCGTAGGTTAGCACGTTCTGCTACGATCGTTAAAGTTAAGCAACTTTCGCAGTGGTCGGTCATTGGATGGGTGACCAAAAATCTTCTATCTCGAATTCCTCCGCGCTTCAAAGGCAAGTTAAGCTGTTAGTCCCGGCTGCATCTGCAGTCGTTAGCACCCGCCAATCCGCACTGGGCCCGCGTGGTGTGTCATGGCCCAATCTCCCTATTCCATCCATAGGGAAGGCATGTGCCCCAGCAGTGGAGACAGTAATAGGCTGGTGATGATGATGATGAAGTAATTTGACCGGTCAAGTATAACAATAAGTTAGTTATAAGAAATAAACGTGATCACCAATCATAAAAACAATTGGAGCGAGTTTACCAATAAGCTTTCACATTTATTAGAATTAAATAACACAAACCGCTAACTCTACGATAATGGTAAGAAGATCCGCACTATCCGTAAATGGAATGCTCTGCCCGCTCACGGGTTTCCTCCTTCTTACAACGTGGGAGCCGTTAAAAGAGGCGTGATCCGTAAATGGAATGCTCTGCCCGCTCAAGTAATCCCTCCTTCTTACAACCTGGGAGCCGTTAAAAGAGGCGTGATCCGTAAATGGAATGCTCTGCCCGCTCAAGTAATCCCTCCTTCTTACAACCTGGGAGCCGTTAAAAGAGGCGTGATCTGTAAATGGAATGCTCTGCCCGCTCAAGTATTCCCTCCTTCTTACAACCTGGGATCCGTTAAAAGAGGCGTGATCCGTAAATGGAATGCTCTGCCCGCTCAAGTAATCCCTCCTTCTTACAACCTGGGATCCGTTAAAAGAGGCGTGAAGAAGCAAGATGCAGGCCGGCAAGATAAGGATGGCTTGTGAGGCAGGTAGAACTGCTTTACCAGCTATCTTCACGGCTTCACCGTCACTTAACATCAGGTGGGGTGAAGTCATTTGTCGGACCTATCTATAAAAAAAGATATTTCATGCAGGTACACCCGCCCGTGTACAAAATTTCCTTTTTGTATGTTGTTAAGCAGCCACATTAGCTTATAGACGCTTGCGATAGGTACTAATAAAGGTGGAGGCTACTACCCAGACTAGCGCTCCAATTCGAGCGGAAAATCTGCTATGCTCTACCCCTCTTACGACAGGTCTATGGCAGATTTATTCATTTTAGTCTTTTACAAGCACATCTGAAAGTCGAAAACTACGCCATCGGTTCGCAAAATTACGGCGGGAGACCTTGTACTGAGGAGAACCGACAATAAACTCAGCAAGGGCTTGCTTTTTCTCCCTGTTTTATTTCATACAGTGTCGTCAACTTGAAAGTTGACATCAAACTTGCAAACATGTGTTGAGGTCAACTTCCATCACATAATGTCAAATAGGTAACAATAGACAATCAACGAATTTAAGAGCTGTAACTTTAAATAAGCGTAAATATATCAGTCTATAGTCAGCGCCAATTCCTCTTTTATAAATTAACATAATAACAATTAGGCACTTGTTGTTAAACTGAATCCATCTATTGATTCTACTGTATCAATATAAATTGACATGCATATTCCAAAGCTTGAGGAGTCATTGCCATTACAAAAATTCGCTTCGGTCAGAACTCGTGTTATGACCGAGAATTTGTTTTTTATTGTGGTTTTCCTCAATATAACGAAACCAATTACCGCTTTATGTTAAAAAAAAAAGATTAAAATTTTCCTACCTAAATCTTATTAATAATCGAAAACAGGGTAAAAAGTAAAAACCTCTAGAACCTTACAAAAGGATATTTAGTAACGTTATTGATAATTTCATTGCACCACCCCTGGGTGATCAAATTTCACATCATTCAGGTAATGTTTATCTATATATATAAAAATGTTATGTACGCTTCAAAAACTCAAAAAGTTCTGCACCGATTGAGTTGAAATTTTAACATGATATAAAAGCCGCATCAAGGATTGTTTTTATCTATTTTTTGCATCAGTCTGGAACATATCTGCGACCGCGAGAAAACAGTTTTTTTAACCATCAGCTGTGAACCAGTGACCGCGCCTTCTGCCAGAAGCGAGGAAAACACTCGCTGACAACCGCAATAGTAACGACGCAGTCACATGAGATACAATTTCGTTCCCAATTACATTGTTTATTTACAAAAAAAAAATGCTATTGTAAAATTAAACTTATGTGAAAAAACAAAACAAAGAATATTTTGTTTTTCATTTCTCAACCATTCAATCACAATGTGCCACTGCGAAGCGTGGCAGGGTACAGCTAGTTACCTAATAAAATTAACACCTTTTTTCGAATTTGGTTCAGGTATATTAATTCAAAAGTTTAGGCAACGACGTGATTTTTTTTTCGCAAGCGTATAGTATAGGTTATGATGATCGCTTACCATCAGGCGGGCCATATTTTTTTTACACCCTTTTGACATGAAAACATGTATTTTAATAGCTATAATTTTTATTTTTAAGCATGTAACTGCTTGATGTTTAAATCCAAAGAAAATATAACTAGAAAAAAATCCACGCGGATCAGGCAGCAGACGGGACTCAAACCCGCACCCTTCTCTATCCGGGCGAATGCACTGACCAATTATGCTACAGCGCCCTGATGGCCGCGTCGAAATTCCTCTAGCCATTCTTAAGCTGCAAAGCAGCGCCATCTCTTCGCATTATAAATAACCCACAATGTCAAAAGAATACTTTTACATAATTGGTCCTTGCATTCGCCCAATAGCGGCGGGTGCGGGTTCGAGTCCCATTCGCTGCATAGGCCCGCGTGGAATTTTTATAGTTATATTTTCTTTATGAATTTTAATATTTATATATATTTGCATTCGCCCAATAGCGGCGGATGCAGGTTCGAGTCCCATTCGCTGCATAGGTTCGCGTGGAATTTTTCTAGTTATATTTTCTTTATGAATTTTAATGTGTATATATATATATAATTAATATCTCCACCAACAGGCACGACGTCAAAGGTGACGGCGGAAGACCTGCACTACGGCGACAAAGCTTGCTTACTCAACGCTACACACCTGACGCTCAGCCAGCTGCCAATAGTCTGCGAAAGCGTTAATTCTTCAGAAATGTGAGTTTGATCAAACCCTTTTTAATCCATTTTTTTGTTAATAAGAAAAAAAGTGCTCAAATATTTCCGAAACTTAAACAGATCGACGCAGAAGAAAGCTGATTAGGTATATACATGCCTCGGCTTATTCAAACAAATGTCCTCACTGCATTATAATATACAAAACTAGCCAAAGCTCATAACGAATTAAATACTAAAAACGGTACTGGTGCTTGCCATATTTTTTGTAGTTTTCTTGAAAAACTTGTCACAGACAATCTTTTTTAGACCCTGATATTTTTACTTTATTAAATATAGTATCTTTATTCGTTTTATGACCAAGCATTGTTACCTGCCTGCCATTATATCCAAACAAAATTTCGTTTTTTCTGGCCTAAAATATAAGAATACCATTTTATCTAGACAAATTGTAGTCTTTTCAGAATTATGTGCTTATTCATTTCTTTATCATATTCTATTGCTAGTACTGATTCAATTTTCCAAAAAAAATCGTTACACAGGTTAAATAAATACCTAATCAAAGTTTTTACATAAATGCAAAACATTTTTTCCTTGTCATCATTGTAATGGAAACTTGATCGACATTACAGATTTTATTATGTTAAATATGGAACGTGTTTTTTTTATTGGGGTTTTAAATTTGTTCCTTTTGTATTAAAGGCCTACAACGTACAGCCTTCAGATATCGTGTTATATTATTTTTTCTGGGTTACGTTTGTAGGTACATTTTTGGCACTTGACAAAAATAGCGTACCTATTAATTCTGCTTATGCCAGCGCGGTAGTCACGTCTAGGGGGATGCAGAAAAATAGGCTTGAAATGCCATTAGGTTGCAATCATCTGAAAAGTCGAAGGTATGAAAGAAACCCCCATTGAATTTACAACGCAAATTCTTTTTTACGTATAAAGTGTGGCAAATACACAACACAGAATGAGGTTAGAAGGGCCTTCAAAATTCAAAAATTCAATACAAAATTCAATATCGTTTATTCAGTCTAGGCTGTTACAAGCACTTGTGAATGTCGAAAAGCTACGCCATCGGTTCGCAAATCTACGGCGGGAGACCTTGTACTGAGAAGAACCGGCAAGAAACTCAGCAAGGGCTGTTTTTCTCTCCCTGTATTATATACAGAGTCGTCAAATTGAAAAATGACTTCAACATGAGGTAACTCATAAAGCGACTTTCCATTACAAATGCAAATAATATAAAAATTATGTCTATATAAAAAACTGGTTTAACAAAGTTTAGGAATGCCATGTCCTACTGTTTAGGCAAAAAAATGAACGGTTAAATAAAACTAGTTTTTTACGGGTTAATGCACGAAACTTTATTTATTTATGATTCTGACGACGTAGCCTGTAAAGGCTACGAAACGTCAATAAATAAATAAAGTTTCGTGCATTAACCCGTAAAAAACTAGTTTTATTTAACATCGCACATCACTCGTGCGTGAAAACCTAAGAAACAAAAATGAACGATTAAAGTTTAGTACAACGATTAATAGTATCCAGTGTTGCCAACTCTACGTCTTTTTACGTAGATCTACGTATTTTAGGCCTTTTCTGGAAACCTACTAACTTCAGTCCCAGAATCTACGTATTTTCTTAATTTTTTTCAAATTTGTAAAATAACTTAATTCACTAGAATAAAGAAGAGTATTTTCCGTTACTTTACTTAAAAACTATACAAATGTCTATTTCTTATAAAGATGTATCTAAACACTCTTGTATCTTGTACAAAAGGTTCCCGTTATTGGTTTTGTTGACTAAATTAATGCTGGACGCAGGATTTGTGAAAGCAGAAACGACAGAACTCTTTGACTTAGTAGGTACGTTCATAACCTTAAAAATTATTGTATTTTTAAACTTTTACTACTATCTATGAGTACCTACTCACATCGAATTGATCTTTGCAAAAAGAAAAGACTTTCACTCGATAAAGTTACAGGATTTAGCAAGTTTTAAGCATATGTTCATGTGTAAGTATGTTTTTTCTCTTGGCAATTTAAACCACAACTTTTCCAGAGTCTTTTACCAAGTGTATCATGATAACTACTATATTTTTCATGTGATCTATTAGAAATCATGGTTTTATAATATTGACTTAGCTGTTTATTTCCTACGTGCTTGCGAGTGTTTGTTTACAAATGTTTTGACGTCATAGAATAGATAAGTCTATAGACTAAAGAGCATTTTCGTATGTCTTCTAGGTAAAAAAAAAAATTTTTTCTGTCTGATAGAACAATTATTAAGAATTTAAAACATAATTCCAAAAAGTGTCAACTAGCCCATTTAACAACAGTTTATCCTTGTCATTCTCTATACAGAATGAAAAGGAGAGACTGATGTTAAATTAAGTTTTAAATTTAGAGAACCATCCAGAATCGGCACCCACCAGTGTCTGTGTCTGATGGTAAATGTTTACCACAGCATGGTAAATGCTTCCAATGCAGCGACTTCTCCAAGAACTCTATGTTCTATCTCCCGTTCTTAAACAAATTGTATAACAAAATACTCGTTTTTTTCGGTTTCAACTTCTTCATTTCACTCAGAAAAAAGTACGTAGATCTACTTACTTTTCATATGCAAAATTTACCAATTCTACGTAATTTTCTCATAGGGCCTACGTCTTTTTCAAAATCCGAGTTGGCAACACTGATAGTATCCAATGAAGCAAGAGCAGACTCATCTCCGCTGGCAGCACCCGTTCACGAGCATGACGCATGAACCAGCCATCGCTTCGCTCAACCATTTTTTAGGGAACGCAACGACCCGATAAATTGACCAAAACTTGGTTTTGATTGGGTGTGAGCGCTGATTGGTCCAATTGTTTAATCTCACGCCGTTTGTTTGGCTATTATCTAATAGGTGGAAGTGTAGTGCAGGCGAGCCGGCGACATCGGTTCCCGTACAAACAGTCTTTGAGTACCCTTTTCACCTCTGCCTGTGTTCTGTTGTTGCAACCAATCATTCGGCCCGCATGATTGTGTGCGGCCGCCTAAGCCTTTACTTAGAGTTTCACGATTCCAGAGTATGACTCGCGCCGCTCTTAACCCTCACGACATCGCCTACCCCGTAAAGTCCTGGAAACTTAACCGTCAGAAATGGAACACATTCAAAAGGTCGTGTTATTTTATTGTAGAATACTTGTTGTGACATTATTTCGTTTACACTGCAAAGAGAATGAGTATCTTTACAAGTATAAATTACTATTCAATTCACATAATTAGTGTATCCAACAAGTTTGATGCAAGTATTGCATACTACTTAACTAATACATGTATGTATACACAAGTGTGAAAAAAAAATTAGGACATTGTATAAAATTTGTTGTATTTATGTATTACTAGAGGTCGCCCGCGACTTCTTAACTTAGTTAACTTAGTTTAAATAAAACTAGTTTTTACGGGTTAATGCACGAAACTTTATTTATTTATTGACGTTTCGTAGCCTTTACAGGCTTCGTCGTCAGAATGACGAATTCTGACGTTTTATTTAATGAGTGATGTGCGTGAAAACCTAAGAAACAAATATGTTAACTTAGTTTCTTGAAAATCCCTCTGGAACCTAACATTTTATCGGGATAAAAGTAGCCTATGTGTTAATCTAGGGTGTCAGCTAACTCCATACCAAATTTTATTAAAATCGCTCTAGCCGTTTAGACGTGAAGAAGTAACAAACATACACACTCACATACTCACACACTCACAAACTTTCGCCTTTATAATATTAGTGTGATTCTTGGTGTAAACGAGGTGTTACATGTATAGTAAAATTTAACTTTAACTAGCTCTGTAGTAACTCACATTATAATCTCTTATCTATTAGACAAGTCCGTCTGTCCGTGGTGCTGTTTCAGCGGCCAAACCGTAAGAGATATATAAAGAGAATATTTAAGTTATAAGTTAAGAATAGTCTGATAAGACTACAAACCGGATTTGAGTAACGTAGCACTTCCGGTTTTCGAGAAATCAGGTTTTGGTGAACATTTGGTTCACTGGTTTGCTATTATGTTATAATTTTGTTGACTGTTTGTTGCCAAAATAAATGATACAATAAAAATCATAATAAAGTGAATGACCTTACCATAATGTAACTCATGCTATGAAAGAATGGTTCTTTTTGGTACAGCTGTCTTTACACTTGAAAAAAAGTGCCCACCTTTATCTATTTTACCAGATGTATGGTAAAGAAATAAAACAATTTTATTTTTTTCAATTTAATTTTTAATTAATTCACACATTTAATGAGTAACAAGTCAACCAGCTTAATACGTACTTAAACTCGTAGAGGCCTTGGCTATTAACTAATAAGCGATAAATAACATTTCAATGTCAAGGTTGATATTCGACCTTGATTGAATTCAATGTCATACAATCTTATAGTCATTCTTTAGTACTTATATACTAATGAGATCCCTACTTCGTGAGCTAGATACAATTAATTTATTGCTAATTAGCATTGAATCTATCATTGTTACGAATTTATTAACTCGTTCGTTGGATCGTGACATAACTTAGGACTTTTTCATGCCATAATACTTAAAATAAGAAGAACTTAGGACTTAAATCTTCGGAGAGGGTGAGCTTCGTTGTAAGTCTCGTTTCTTTATGCCCGATAGTTTATTGTATATTACTTATACTAGCTAACCCAGCGAACTTCGTACCGCCATAAAAAAGTAGGGGTTGATTGTAAAGGGTTGAAAATTCAGGGTTATATGTATTTACTAATGCTGTATCATAAAAAAATTAAAAAAAATATATATCTAAAATTAAAAAAAAAAATTAGGGGTGGATTACCCTTAACATTTAGGGGGATGAAAAATAGATTACATCCGATTCTCAGACCTACTGAATATACATATAAAATTTCACGAAAATCGGTCGAGACGTTTCGAAGGAGTTTAACCACAAACACCGCGACACGAGAATTTTATATATTAGATTTATATTACACAGGAAGAAATATATCGACAGTGGAAAGACAAAGTGACTTAACGCCACTTCAGTCAAAAATCCATATTTACACTAGTTAATAATACTATAAATGCGAAAGTTAGTCTGTCTTTGTGCGTGACTGTCTGTCTGTAACCTCTTGACACTTAAACCGCTGAACCCATTTAGACGAAATTTGGTATTGATATAGTTCAAGTCAAGGGAATGCATACGTGAGTTCTGATGACCTCCGTGGCCGAGTGTTGCTGATGTTTCAAGGTGTCGCCTACTCGAGAGGTCCCGGCTTCGAATCCTGGTGGAGGCAGATGTTTGTGTGATGAATACGAGCGTTTGTACTCAAGTCATGGATGTTTAATGTTTAATCTTTATAACTATACTTAAATATGCATCAGTATATTTATTCTATCCGTTACCATAGTATCCCATAATTGGTGTGAGTGTTGGAAATATTTATTTTATTATTTCAAAAAAATTCAAAATTCAATATCCATAATCCATCGGTTCGCAAATCTACGGCGGAAGACCTTGTACTGAGAAGAACCGGCAAGAAACTCAGCAAGGGCTGCTTTTTTCTCCCTGTTTTATTTCATAGAGTGTCGTTAAATTGAAAGTTGACATCGAACTTGCAAACATGTGTTGAGATCAACTTCCATCACATAATGTCAAATATGTAACAATAAAAATAATATAATTTAGTAACAATATTTAATATTTATTTTATATAATTTATTTATATATTACTACCGGCCGGCACCAAAATACCGCATCATCCCCTGAGAAGGGGAAGATCGCTTCAGATGAAGCTTGTAAGGTCCTTCTGGCCATAAGCATGAACTACGGGCGTGTTTTAGTCAATAAGATCAATCAGTCAATATGAGGAGCTTGATTGCACAGGTGGTTAGCGCTTTCGGCTGCGATCGTTGAAGTTAAGCAACTTTCGCAGTGGCGGTCATTGGATGGGTGACCAAAATTCTTCTATCTCGACTTCGTCCGTGCTTCGGAAGGCACGTTAAGCCGTTGGTCCCGGCTGCATCTGCAGTCGTTAGCACCCGTGAATCCGCATTAGGCCCGCGTGGTGGGTCATGGCCTAATCTCCCTATTCCATCCATAGGGAAGGCCTGTGCCCCAGCAGTGGGGACATTAATAGGCTGATGATGATGATGAATAAAATCGGTAGGTGTTTTAGTTGAGATACATAGATTGATATTAATTGTTTTTTTCTAATTTTCGATATGGAAAATAAAGACTCCTGCTCAAATATATTGTCTACAGGCAACTACGGAACTCTACACTGTGCGTGGTACTACACCCACTTGGCCGGTATTTCCCTCTTAGGAGCAGTATTTTGAAATTTTTATATTTTTCGTTTTTCGAAAATCTATGATATATTTTTAAAACTCCTTTCTTAGTGCATCCCTAGACCTCATAAGGAACCTACGTGCCAAGCGTGCAGGCACCAAAATGTAGCCAAAAGTAAAGCAACCAAAGTTGTTCTGTTTCCTGCACTTCGAAATTCGAATTAATTAGGCGCGTCTACACAGAGCGAGCAGCCTCGCAAGGCATTTACCGCGCGCGGCAAGGCTCGGAACTGTCCCCGAACGAGCGCGGCAGCCTCGGCGTCACCGCGAGGCTGCCGCGTGCGGTAAGCCCGAGCCAGTTTTCTTCGTTCGTTCATTCTCATGATTTTCCCGCCTGAAAGATCCCATCAATTCTTTTTTAAATCGGGAACCGGGACATTCATCTCCTGGCTAATATTTAACTAGGCATCTTCCCTAAGTCCTCTATTTGTAAAATTAGGATCACTTGCACTCCATAGCCAGGTGTTTACACCATAGAGAGATATTAATTTCAAACACTGATCTTTGTTCATAATTATTATGCTCGACCGAGGCACGAAATAAAAAACACGAGAGTCCGGAGTGCGCACGGCAAACGACCGAGGCGCCTTTGAGCAAAACAATAAACCGACACTTGATGGTTTGGGCGCTCGGTCGCAAGCCCGCGGCAGCGCGCGCTCTTGCTTCGGCCGAGGCACGTCTTTAATAACCGAGCTGCCTCGCGCGGCAATTGCCTCGCGCAAGGCTGCTCGCTCTGTGTAGACGCGCCTAGGACTAGGACCTAGGTAATTCATACTTATATGAACTTATGGCTGGCGATGCCCTTGAGCGCGAAAGCGTAACAAACAAACAATATCACTTTTGCATTTATAATATCATAGTCATAGGCTAGCAAAATGCAAGTAATGTGTAGTTATGTTAATGTGTATCTCTTTTCACCACAGATGCGAGACATTATCGTTGAACGGCAGCAGATATTGCGAGTGGGGCTACAACGGGCTGGGCATAGACTACCAGGTGCTGGCTGGACCTGCCTTCATGGCGGTCTTCACGGTGGTCGGAGTCATTCTCGGAGTGGTGGCTGACAAGTAAGGATTTAATAATTTGTACCTAATGTTCAATGGCAGCAGGTGTGACGGCAACATCAACACGCTCCAAGTATACGTGCTGGAGGATGAAATCACTAGCCATGTCAAGAGATAGCGGCTACTGGCGACGCACTCAATAGCACCAAAGCCTACATCGCGCTAGAGAAATTCGCAGACTAACACATCATATATGACCGAGCAACATCGATCGGGCCGCGGTCCCTGAGCTAACATCACGCCGCTCGGTGGAAGATCTTCCTCTTTAGCCTTCCTACACTGGTACTGCGAGGGGGATACAAAAAAAGTAATTTAAAAAATTACCGTGCATGTTAGCGCCATCTATATAATAGACTTTTTGGCGGGATCGGTAAGCGTCACTTTAGCAGTATAGTTTTTCTTGTTAAAAATTGTGGCGGATGTTATTGTCTAATAATGGTGGATTATTAACCACTAAGTGTTCGGGAACATGCACAAGTGTTGACAAGTGAAACAAAATAGCGGAAAGTGTCTTTCGACGTTCCCTCAAGAAGTCCACGGGGAGGTTCCAGTAAATCCCCACACTTTTACTGAAACATAGGGAAAGGGAGATTGACTTGACTGCCACTTAATTTGACTTGATTTATTACTTTGACCACGGGTGCTATAGTATTTGTTAACATTTTTACAACTTGACATTGGCTAAATGGACAAGCCGTGCGAAGCCATTAAGAAAAAAAAACTATATAGGTAATAGAAGGCGCTAAAAATTAGTTTTATATTAGGTGCAAACCTAATTTAATAATAACTACTACTATTGAACAATCACGCCGTAATTTAAATTGGTTTTCTTTATTGGTTTATAAAAGACACACCTAGTTTTCTATCCAGAATTCATATAAACCCAAACCAGTTTTGACAGATAATAGTGCCAACTAAAACTAGGTGGCGCATTTTAGGATTAAACTTAACAGGTAATGTTAAAATATCAAGCCAGAATTAAATAGGTTTTCTTTATTGTTGTACCCTTGTTCATGTATCTTTATTTAAATTGCTCCTGCATCTATATTTGTGTCTACAGCTAAAACGCGGCCAAATGACAAAACCAACTTTTGAGATATGGCCAAAAAAACGACGTGTTCACTTTAATTAAGTTGTTGATATTTTGTAACCATTCAGCACGTGACGGATTTTTAGACTTAAACTATAAAAGATACGAATACATCTTAAAGACAGATCGATAGAGAATTTAAAACTGTATAAGATGTAATTTAAGACTGAAGAATCGACCACATGTCACTTAGCCGTTTAGTTTGAGGACGGCAGAAATAAAAGACAGACAATAGTTTTAAAGGGATGAAGATTCGATTGCCCCGCCGGCCGCGGCTTTATTTGTGACTTTATTTGTTAAATATTTATTCATTAAAAAATACCTACTGTAAAAAATGTAAACATTGAAATGGTAATGATTGTTGATAAAAACCAGAGCCGTATTAATAAACAAGTTAGGCACCTACCAAAGGTTTAATACTTAATTATTCAAGGTATTGTAAAATACACGCCAAAAATCAATACTGAAATTGTTTCCAAAAATAGATAAAAGCTTTATTTAGTAAATAAACAAAAACAAAGAAAAAAATTGCATCCGTACTGGGATTCGAACCACCGACCACTTGCCTCGACCTCAAGAGACCGATTGGTTTGGGCTATCTGTCTCTTAGAATGAATCATAACATTATGTATACCATCTTGTGTCAAATAATTTACTTCCGTTTCATCGAATCTAAAGTCACAACGATATTAAAAGAAGTTTTCACTTCAAAAGGTTTTTTTTTCAAATTTATATGGGACCAACTTCGAACTCTTTCCAATGAAATAAGAATTATTATCAAAATCACACTTCTCTGCAAAAAGTTATACGGAATCATTGAATTGGTTTTTCTTCATATGAAAAATCGGAACGAATATTTTAAATAACATAAAAAGGAAGAAAATAAAAGTTATGTAGAGAAATGGAAATAAAACTTAGTAATTTCCACTCAATAGCCGCTCTTATAGTGCACCGAAACCAAAGGAGCTCGAGATAAAATACATTTCTATACCCCTAGCACGAACCATTATCGAATTCGAATAGTTTGCAAACCGAAATGTCAATGTCAAATTTTGTATGGAAACTTGAACAGCAGCGGCACAAAGTACGTATCAAGAAATTTGACAATGACATTTCGGACTCGCAAACTATTCGAATTTAATATTGGTTCGTGGTAGGGGTACTGATCACCCATTCTATGACCGAAATACAAAAGGTGCATAACTTCAATGATCTCAGACAGAATGTGCTACCAAGCTCCTCACAGAGCATTTCATCTTTAATAAAAAACAAATCTTCTTTACCAGATCTCCAAAAAGATCTTAATAAGTTAACATTTCAACAGGTATAACAGAGCGCGGGTGCTTTCCGTATGCACCTTAGTCTTCGTAGTAGCCATACTCCTCATGGGCACAGTAACAGAATACTGGCACCTGGTGATACTTCGCATGGTGATGGCGGCGGGCGAGTCCGGGTGCAACCCCCTAGCTACCGGGATCCTCACCGATCTGTTCCCGGAACACCAGAGAGCGCTGGTGCTGTCAATCTTCAACTGGGGCATTTATGGTGGATACGGTATCGCCTTTCCAGTTGGAAGATATATCCCTGATCTCAACGCGTGGGGATTGGTGAGTTGAAGTTTTGTTTTTATTTATTTTTAGGCATTTAACTGCTAGATGTTTAAATCTAAAGAAAAGTTTTACTAGAAAAATATCCACGCGGACCAGGCAGGCTCGAACCCGCACCCTTCGCAATCCGGGCGAATGCACTGACCAATTATGTTACCACGGCCCTGATGGTCGCGTCGAAATTTTCCTAGCCTTAGGCTGCAAGGCAGCGCCATCTCTTCGCATTGTAGGTAACCCACAATGTCAAATGAATACTTTTTCAAGTATTGAAGCGGAGCGTTGTAGAATGAAAAATGTAGGACGCAATGGGTTTATTAACACGATTTTATAGTAAAACACAAAATATTATTATATCAGATGACAGGCAAAGACTATGACACACAATAACAATTTTGAAAGCAACATATCATAAAAATGTCAATACTTTAAAAAACACTTCAAAAAACTATAAAAACTAAATCTATAAAAGAGGTCGGCAACAAGTATTAAACATTTGAAAGAAGAAATAGCAATTATAGTTATGTTTTTATTATTTTTTAAGCATTTAACTGCTAGATGTTTAAATCTAAAGAAAAGTAGGTATTACTAGAAAAAGGTTGAAGTTTATTCTTTTTTTTTATAAAATTGAATAAATCATTGGACCTGGCTGAAAAAAATAATACGATCCATAAAAGGTGTCATTTTTTCAATGACGAAACATAAAGAGTTGATGATTATGTCAGGTCTGAGATGCACATTGAAGTAATTGTTTGTTGAAGTTACATTTGTAGGCACCAAGTGTGGAAAGTTCTAGGCTCATTGAAGATTGCTTTTCAAAGGCCTAACTAAATATTTTTCCATCCACCTCATTTGCGTAAGATATCTATCTATCTGGACTCCAATTAAATTGTAAACATAGCACACACATAGCTAAAGCAGAAGTAGCTTTGATCAATTGCGATTTTTATCCTATCATCAGCTTATTAATGTCGACTACAGGGGCGCAGGCCTTCCCTATGCGACTGCAGTTGCAACAAAGACCATGAAAGAGCTCGAAATGATAAGTTTTTATCACCCATCCAATGACTGACCATTCTGAAAGTTGCTTAACTTTCAAGGTTGCAAGCCGAATGTGCTAATCACCTGCACCATTTAGCTCCTCGTATCCTCGTCCTATCTATCCTAATAATAAACATAATGCCATTTCTGAACAGAGTTGGCGTCTGTGTTACTACGGTGCCGGAATCATCGGTTTATTCATCGCCCTACTTACATTCTTGACTCTTCGCGAACCAGAGAGGACCACCATTGGAGAAGAAGGTCAGGAAATAATTTTATTGAACGCTACATAGCTTAGTAAAATGACAGAAATTGCATTACCCTTACTAGTAGCGAATCCAGAAGTTCAGTTTAAAAGTTTTGCATCCTAACGGCTTAGGGGAGGAGGGGACGGAAATGAAAAAATAAATAAATCAATATTTCTAACACTCACACCAATTAGCCTAGCTCCAAAGTAGCACTGTAGGCTTGTTATGAGATAGAATACAGATACCGATACAAATATAAGCATATTTATGTAGAAATACATATGAAACATCCATGACTCCAGTACAAATGCTCGTATTCATCACACAAACATCTCATCCCCCACCGGGACACGAACCCGGAATCTCTCGAGTACAAACCGTCGAGAAAGGAGGTCGTCGATGGGTGTGTATATATATGTAAAACACACAAAATTAATGCAAATGGGATACTGGACGGGGGCCTCAGTCCTTCTCTCAAGAATCACTTCGACAATCGGGATTTCCCAATTTTGTGATATGTTCTAATGAATTCGTATCGTCATCTTATACAAAGTTGCAGTCTACATTACTTTTCACGGATTTTGTATTTTATATTTTCGATTCGGTGTTAGCGTTTCCATGATGGTGGCTTTTCACTCGGTCGCTACAAACAGAAGCTGTACTAAATCATGATATCGTTGGTTTTACAATCAGATGCCGGCAACAATAAGACCAACGACGCGTCTCTGGAGGCCGGTAAGAAGATGCCTCAGGTCACCATCTGGCACGTCATCGCCCAGCCGAGGATCCTGCTCCTCTGCATAGCTGCTTCCATCAGACATTGCGGTGAGTTAAAATTTCTTTTGTAGATAGATCCGAAAAATGACTCCCTCCGCTTGATGTGGTACAGCAGTTTTAACGGCCTGCAAGTTGCTTCTTCGCGCCTCTTTCAAAAGACCTCAGGATGTAGGAAGGAATATGTAAGCGGGCTAAAAATTCTATTTACGGATCGTGTGACAAAGAAATGTGTCACCAAATTTCTTTCTTTGCGTAACAATAGTGGACACATTAAGTCAGTGACAACGTAGGCCTGCGCGCGTGATCCTCTGAAGGAAAGGGGAATGCAGGATAGCGGATAATAAATAACTCCTCTTCACATCTGAACTTTAAAACAATCATCCTCAACCGGTTGAGATGACATCTATATATATAAAACTCAAAGGTGACTGATTGACATAGTGATCTACCAACGCACAGCCCAAACCACTGGACGGATCGGGCTGAAATTTGACATGCAGGTAGATATTATGACGTAGGCATCCGCTAAGAAAGGATTTTGATAAAAGGGGATAAAATAGGGAATGAAACTTTGTATGAAACTTTGTCAATTTTAAACTGATAGGGCTGAGACTGCATGCAGGTCATTGCAGGTATAAGAAGAATCATAGATGACTGTCATTGTGTATAATACAAGCCTGAGAACAAAAACTGTAGTCTACACTTCAGCTCTACACCAAAGCGAATCTAGGGCGGACCGCTAGTTTTATATAAACTTTTAGTTTGGATGACAGTGGGCCCTATTCTTTTCCTGTTTTACAATCTACGAATATCGCCGAACATACACAAAGAAACTTATATGTAAGTAAGTAAGTACATTCACGACGAATATATAACTTCCTCCATATTTATATGAAGTTGGTAGAAAATGTATTATGCATTCAACATTTGGTTGGGATCTATGTAAATATGTTGCCATCCCATAGCCTCTTTACCATTATCGTTGATCATATATTTACAACTCGTATATGCGTAAAAGTTAACATCTGACGCGTTATATATTTTTCTTACGCTACCACGACTCCAACATCGTAAAGTCAAATTAGTTACTTAATATTTTCTTAAGTATGACTGCTTATACATAATAACAGAAATAAATAATTGTCAATTGATCGATTCTTCAGACACAGCTGGTTATTAAATTTGTGTCCTTTAAAGATATTACAAACTTTAGCGTAATTGTGTTATTATAATTTTATATATACAGTAAAATGTTCAATATTTCTGTCTTATATGAAACATAATCTACAAGTTTAATAGAATACTGTTAATTTTAAAACTTATTATATCAATGAGTCAAGCAGGCGTGTTCTTGAAAGCTTAGCAAACTAAAGTAGAACATTTGAAGGTGTGTACACCGCAACTAATAACAAAATGGATGAAGGGTTTTTATGTCCAAGTAAAAAAGAGGTACATATTTAATCGCAGACTACATCTGTCCGTAGGTACGTACTAAACAGTCACCGAATAAAGTTAATAATCGTAATTTATTGGTTGGCAAGTAAGTAGAACTTTTTTATGGGAATCTGGGTCCGACTAAATATAGAAATATTATGACATGGCAGGTTTCAGCAAAAGCATTAGGAGCGAGTTTGCGTAACGTACCTACTTAATGAAGTTTATAAACCCCACATTTCATATTATTTTGTTCATGATAATACCTACAAGCAATGATTAATAAAATAAATAATAAATATTTCCAACACTCACACCAATTAGCCTAGCCCCAAAGTAAGCACTGTAAAGCTGTGCTTATAGGATACTAGGGTAACGGATAGAATACATTATAAAGTACATATAAGTAAGTATATTTATATAGAAATATATATTAAACATCCATGACTGGAGTGCAAATGCTCGTATTCATCACACAAACATCTGCCCCCACCGGGATTAGAACCTGGGACCTCTCGAGTCGGCGACACCATGAAACCCGGCGTACCACTCGGTCACGGAGGTCGTCAAAATTGAATTGAATAAATATTGAACACTAACATAGTCAAGGTAATGTAAAAACTTAATATTACTAGAAATCGAAAAATAATGATTATGACTTATCCAAATCAAACACTCAATAAAGAAAATTATCTTTCAAGTTTGTAAACATAATTTTCTTTATTAATTTCTGTATTCCGAAAATTTAAGATAAATTCCTACGTACCGTAAACGTATTGTGACAAAACTTTTAGAGGACGTGGTCCTCACTAGAGCTTTCACAAAATACTCTTGGTTCATAAAGTTGAAGAAAACCAAGTTGTCTCTCTTTACTTATTTATTATTAGCGCACATGACAGATAGTGTCCTGGCCGATAAAAATATGGAAAAAAAACCTATAACCCCACTGCAGCTTCCTATGCGGTAGAGTTGAAACTTAAATAAAAAAAACTATGGAACTCTTCTAGTTACCCAAGTGTGTTAATGCCCTAAGCCAGCTATACTCTAAGTGTGTTCCGCGGAACCCTAGGGTTCCGTGATACCTCTGTCGGGGTTCCGCAAGAATTTAGAAATAAAAAAATCAAAACACCTCTCTCTGGTCGCTCCGCGGCTGTGCGGACTCCGCGGCCGCGCGGAGACAAAACGCTATGAATGTTATTTATTTATTTATTTGTATTTGTATAAGCTTGTGTTACATTAGCTGGTACAATATCTCATAAGTTTGGTCTCAACAATTTTATACTTGTACAACGCGTTCGCTCTAAGTTTGCCGGTCTGTGGAATGCGCGTACCCTCCCCCACGTGACAACAAAACTTATAATGTGTCATAGTTTTACCCAAATATCTAACGTACACAATTTTTATTGTTACAATTAAATAAAAAATTTCGAACGTCATACACTCATACCTATCGCCAGCGGCAAACTTAAAACGAGCGGGTAGTATACTTGTAAGCGCTCAGTCTCTTTGATAAAAGCCGCCTCTGAATTAGACGCTATAGTTGTCAACTAGCGACTTTCGTCTCTAACTTCAAAGGATAAAGTCGATATTGTTTACAACGCTATTTTTAAATTTCTGTTTTTATTTTTGCTTTTTGTTTATCAAAGGTGCCGACTCGAGTATTTTCGAGAATATTTGAGATCGAGTCTAGGACTAAGTATAAAAGCGGCGATCGCGCGTTGGCGTCGTCAGTTGATGATTAGCGTTCGGAGCGATAAGTTACTACCTACTTACAAGCTCGCTAGCGAGAAACTGGTGTTCATTGTTTTACTGCCTGCTGTATTCTGTTGTCTCAGTTTTATACATTTCTTCCCTGTAGGTTCTAAATTTAGTCTCTTATACGCAGTAACGATTGTGCATTATTTAAACCCCACTATCCTGACTTGTAACATTATAAATAAAGAAGAATGGAACGTTGGCTTAAAGGTGTTAAACGTGTTCCAACAACATCTTCTAATGACGCTGAATGTTCAAAAGCAATGCGCGCGGAGAATTTAGCAATCACCGATCCAGAAGATGATGCCACGAGTGCCACGACGTCAAGCTCGACGGTTTCAAAGACGAAAAAAAGGAAGTATGATGAATCTTATATCAGTTTCGGATTTGTTGATTCCAACGGCTCACCTCTCTGCATGCTCTGTAGTAAACTGCTTCCTAATAGTTCCATGGCACCTGCCAAATTGCGTCGACATTTAGAAACCGTACACCCCGAGACTAAAGACAAGAATAAAGAATTTTTTGTTCGCAAAAAAGATCAGTTATTAGAAAGTCAAAAAAATATGATGCATGTAACACAAACTACCAACGAAAAGGCCACGGAGGCATCATACTTAGTTAGCTATCGCATTGCACAAGCAGGTGAAGCGCACACTATCGCTGAGAAATTAATAAAACCATGTGTATTAGACATAACAAAATGTATGCTTGATGAAAAATCTGCAAAGCATCTTTCTACTGTTCCGCTATCAAACGATACTGTTTCACGACGAATCCATGATCTGGCAAGCTACGTCAAACAAGAACTAGTTACACGTCTACAAAATACACGATTCGCTTTGCAAATGGACGAGTCGACTGATGTCGCTGGTTTGGCTATCCTGCTGGTTATTGTGAGATATCCATATAAAAGTTCTTTTGAAGAAGACATGCTTATGTGTTCATCGCTGCTTACAAACACTACCGGGGAAGAAATTTTTAATAAAATAAATATATTTTTTGAAGAACATAATCTCAGTTGGAACAATTGCATTGACATTTGTACAGATGGGGCCAAGGCGATGACAGGTAAAACAGCAGGAGCAGTGTCACGAATGAAAAATAAAGCGCCTAATTGTAGTTCCAGTCATTGTATTCTGCATAGACAAGCACTTGCGATGAAGCAAATGCCGTCTAATCTAAAATTAGTTATGGATGAAGCGGGAAAAATAATTAATTTTATCAAATCACGACCACTACAATCCCGATTGTTCTCATTATTGTGTGAAGATTATGGCAGCAAACATAAAACACTGCTGCTCCATACAGAAGTGCGAGGGCTGTCTCGGGGAAAAACTTTAACAAGGCTATTTGAACTTAGAGCCGAGTTACAAATGTTTCTTTCAGCAGATACTTCTTTTAATTTGAAGGACCGTTTGTATGATAAAACTTGGTTGTTCCGATTGTCTTTTATGGCGGATATCTTTCAAAAACTTAACGAATTAAATTTATCATTGCAAGGTAAACAGACAACAGTGTTTCAGGCCTATAATAAAATAACTACTTTTAAAAGAAAATTAGATTTTTGGATCATTTGCATTGGTAAGAAAGAAATAGAAAGTTTTACGTTACTCACTGAGTTTGTTAGCGAAAACGACTCAGAAATGTTTGAAGATAATGTGTTTGAAGAATTGGTCCAATATCTCAGTTCGATGCGCGCATCTTTTGAAAAGTATTTTCCCGAAGAACACAATACAAAAATTAAAGTGAACTCCTGGATTCATAATCCTTTTTTACCCAACTTGGAAAAGCCTGAAAACATGTCAAATGAGATATATGAATCTCTTTTAGAAATGTCATCAGACACAAGTATGGAGTCATTGTTCAAAACGACGCCTCTTAATGATTTTTGGTGCAGAATCCAAGATGAATATGCAATGCTTGGCCAAATGGCTCTGGATATTCTTCTCCCGTTCCCAACTACATATTTGTGCGAAACAGGATTCTCTACCTACGCAGCCACGAAAACAAAATATCGCAATAGACTGGACGCCGAAGCTGATATGAGACTCCAACTTTCTTCCATCAAACCTGATATCAAGCAATTGATGAAAAATAAAAAACAGTTTCATACCTCCCACTAGTTAGATTTTTTCTTTTTTAATGTTTTCTATTATTGTCCTTACCAAGTGGTGAAGTAAATAATAATTAGTAACGGATACATTGTACTTTTATTATGCTGATTAATATAGAATACACTTATAAAAATAATTGTTTTATTGTAGGGTTCCATCAAGTATTTTGCTTCCCAAAAGGGTTCCGTCATTTAAAAAGTTTGAGAACCACTGCCCTAAGCTAACAAGTAAGTAGCTTAAGTTAACCGGGTCCTGGCTGCCTGTCACGCAGTTTCGCAACGTTGTCATACGCACCCAAGGCCACGCCAAGCGAGCCGGAAATTGTTGCCTGTTGTTCTACAACAATTTCTTACACAGGTATTAGTTGCCACTTCCGCGACTCGAAAATTTGAATAATCGTTCTACGTACATGTATCTTACTAGGTACTTATTAAATGGGTGTTACAGTATAAGCAGGTGCCTATTTGGGAAGACGGAAAGAGTTATAGATAATTTAACACGCCCTTTAGAATAAGCGATTAGAAGGCCTACTAGGGCCGAAGCTTTATGTATTTTTCTTTTACACTTAATTATTAAAATAGGCATGATGATGGGGTAAGGTAAACGAAATTCTATTTAGTCCGTCAGTTGTCAGAAGTTAATCGACACTTACTTTTTCTTTTGTCAATTAACCAAAATATGTGAAAATTTGAGAGTGGAGGCTGTTGACGTCACTTCTAACTAAACACCGAAAGACGAACATAGGTAACGTTAGCTGCTAACTTTCCAGTGAAATGGAATTCTATTCGACGAATGAGTATAGAATGTTCAGCGATAATCCATCAGCCTGTAAATTTTTATCTCCGAATACATCGTAGTAGCCAACCTCAGGAGCAAGACTAGGGTTGCCAACCCTGCTATATATTAAAGTATCCTACTATATTAGGGGAACAAATACTATATTCCTAAAAACAATATATAGGTAGGTATGTATAGGTAGGCGAAACTTCTATATTTTGCTAAAAACAGACTTTTGCCAGTAAAAGCTTTCTTAAAATAGAAACTGAAGTATTTGGGTATAGAGCAGCAAAAATATAAAAAAATATTTTCTAAAATAAAGTTAATATTTTAACCACATTTTTATTTCATCTACTATATTTTTAGAGGTAAAAGCTTTGAAAATACTATATTTGATAGAAAAAAAGTTAGTAATCATCCAATTCGGTTTCACTTCCGTATCACGGTATACCAATTATGGCGTAAACCTTCTTATTTTTGCGTCTTAAATGAAACAAACCATCCTTTGTATCGCGTCCTTCTTCTAGCCATACGGTAAGATTATCTGGGTCTCCTTTTCTTCATACCATACAGTCAGTGCCGGTGTAAGGGCTAATGCGTAAGCCTTCTTACATTTAATAGAAAATGATAATTGATACTGATAAGTTAGAACAATTGGGTGATGATAAATAAAACCGTCTCGTTAGAGTGCTAAATTGTCACTGACTTATTTCATATAAGTGGGTAATTAAAAATGATTCTTATACAAATTGCACGCGCTTACGAAACGCGGCTTTACGACCTTAAAATTATGTACACATAAACAAAAACCTATGTACGGTCGTACAGCCGGATTTAAGACAGATGAGGCTGTGACCCAGTGGTCCCCACAAGACAGATAAAAATAACAAATTTCGACGGGCCACTAAACCAGGGGGGATGCGAATCGTAAGTGTAAGTGGTCCGGGCCAGATTTAGGGTCCTCCACGCCTTCGTTGCCCCAGGGCCCACACACCTCTAAATCCAGCCCTGCTCACAGTCGTACAAATAAATTTAATGTAATTTTAAATCACATGCTGTCAGATTCTAATTACATCGCAAAGAAATGGACACTAACTTTATTCACATTTAAAGCTTAATTAATGTTTCTGTGTACATTCGTCGGATAATAAGGTTTCTCCTCCCCAGGTGGTATGTGCTTCGCATACAACGCTGACCTGTACTACCGCGACTACTTCCCTGATGTGGATCTGGGCTGGTGGCTGTTCGCTGTCACCGTCGGCATCGGCTCCGTTGGTGTCGTAGCTGGAGGTGTTATATCTGACAAGTGAGTGTTGGTGAAACAACTTATTAGCTACTATACTAAGGAAGAGGTCGTTTCCAAATGCCTGTGCGTGTACAGAAGGAGCTGGGTTGGCTGTTCTAGCTAATCTAGCTAGCAAAAGCCTGTGCTCCTGCAATGAAGACTTACGTCTTTGTTACGAATGTGGAATCACGCTTAAAGGACCAAACGCTAAGAAACCCTTTTTCTTGCATTACTTTAGCGATATAAAGAGATATGGTAACATCATCATCGTGATGTGAGGAAAGCCTGTGCTCCTACAGTGAAGACCGTACTTTCGTACGGATGACGTCTTAAACTACCGCGACTGCTTTCCAGACGCGAAGTAAGGATATGGTGACTGGTATGTTTTATAACCATGCATGGTCTCGGGTCCGTAGGCGATCTGACGAATGCCAAAATGTCTACATACTGTAGGACACAATCCTTCTCTATGTACATAATCGGAGAGGATTGGTGGGTTTCCAATCATCGAAGATGCAACCAACGCAATCAAGTTTCAGTTTGAATATGCGACAGACATTAAACTGATAATCATTGTCAACAGGTTCGTAGCAAAGATGGGTGTGCGCTCGCGAGTGCTGGTACTCGCGCTGTCGCAGCTGATCGCGACCCTGCCCGCCTTCGGCTCCGTAGTGTTCGGCCCGCTGTGGGCCATGATCACTTTGGCTATTTCCTACTTCTTCGGTGAGTGACAAACATTGGATACATTAAAGAATTTATTTATCTATCTACATTTAAACTTTTAGGTAGGGTCTTGCAAATAACTCCTAACCCCTAATTGGGTAGATGTATAGAATGTAGTCCAGATCTAAACAAGTCTCAATTTGACTTAGCTTATCTGTTTGCCAATAAAAGGTAGCGTGAATACCATGTGGAGACAGTAAAAGGTAGACGTATATAGTTAGATTCCTGATCATTTTCAAAGACTCTGACCAGCCACTTTTTATTAAAATTTTGCTTGAAACCCCATTAGAATGTCTAGAAATGTAACGTCAATATGTGCATGAAAGAAATGACTGCGTTTAGAACCGACTCTCGGCAGTTACGTGCTACATTGTCATTAATAGAAATCACTGATTTGGCGTTTTTCTCTTATTTCCAGCTGAGATGTGGTTCGGCATTGTGTTTGCTATTCTCGTGGAGATAGTGCCTTTGTCTGTGCGCTCCACTACCGTGGGAGTCTTCCTGTTCGTCATGAACAACGTGGGTGGAAATCTGCCCATTCTGGTGGACCCCGTCTCCAAAGCCATCGGCTACAGAGAGGCCATCATGATCTTCTACGCGGGATTCTATGCGATCAGTAAGTATATCACCATTATCGAAATTTGTATGCTGTATTTACCTACTTTAGAGACAGACACCGACATAAGTACCTAGATCTGCCTTTTTTGAATTCACGACCCATTAATATTGGGAAGTCACCATCTTGAAAACAATCTGCCACCAACGATATTTTAATATCGTTGTTTATCTCAGGTGACTTCAGGTTCTTTATCTTTGAAAAGTATTGTTCGGCCTACGATCATCAAATTTAAGCAACTTTCACAATGGCCGGTTGCGGCCGGCTAAGGTCGCAACAGGTTAGGATTCGGAATACAAGTTTTTTTTAGGAACAAATCCTTATTTTCCCAATATCATTCCGTGGCCGTCACGTGGGGTAGGTAGGTAAGTAATAGAAGAACACCGGCCTTATTGGAATCCGTTCTGCAGGAAATTAGGAGGTCCAGCTCCTCAAAAGCTCCAGGTGTCAGTTAGGAAGCGTCGGTCAATTTCCGTTTTTCAAAATCTAGCCGTTGTGATGGCGGATATTACTCAGCCATCTTCAGGAAAAGGAGTCAATCCTCCTCATAGCAAATAGAACCCAAAGGGCAGTAACGGCCTGATTATTAACAATGTTATATCCTTTCGTGATTATGATATTTAATTTATGTTACTTTTGTCATACAGGCAGTATACTATTCTTCCTGACGATGTTCCTGATGGACGGGCCAGTGGAGCCCCGCCCGGAACTGCCGAAGCCCACCACAACTGGCCTCGATAACCGAGCCTATTCTCACGACGAGCTAAACAAGACTGGAAGAAGTCTTCCATCAGCCCCAGACGCGAGTAGACTATGAAGACTCTAAAACTACAAATTTTACGACCTTAAAATATTGCCATATGTATGGCTTTCGTCTGTGTTCTTTGTATACAAGGTTCTACTAATTACTCTACATTAAATGAGTAAATATGTGTGGAATCCAGCGAAGGCAGTAGGTTTTGAGCACTATCCAAAATACTGCCAGATGTATGGCTTTCACCGGTTTCTTTATATACAAGGTTCAGCAAATTACTCCACTCTAAATATCCGTGGCAAAGATGAGACAGTAGAAATAAGTGACGATCCAGCCATCTTCTGGCCAGAACTCAAATTACTATGCGGAAGCTCTTGCAACAAAACTGTGTTATTGGCTGCAATCTTCTACGTGGAGATTACTTCTCTATTTTTAGCGGAAAGTCCGCAGAGTCATTCATCATAACTGCCTAATATTACGTGGAGCAGTTAGAAGCAATAGCATTAAAAATGTGAATATAGTTATTGTTTGGATGCGAAAGGGATAAAACTTGCCTAAAGCCTATCAATGAAAATAATTCCAGAACTATGTTCACGGAAACGAGTTAGTGTTAACGAAAGCTAAGCTTTTCTGTCATTGCCCAGATAGTATTGTTGTCGTTAATATGGCAAATAATAAACGAAAGCTCCTTTTTTCAGTTTTTTTAGTTTTCATTGAGTAAACTTATAAACGAGGGGACTATAGAATTGTACATATTTTCGAATGGAAAAATAGACTCAAATAATACCAATTGTATGGCAAGTAGGTCACAAGCTAGATACAAATTCGACCGAATGCTGATTGGTGAGTTGTAATCGCTATAAATGCTGGTACCAATGGCTTATCTTAATGTGCTTGGTAATGTTCTCGTCAGGACAGGAGTTAATTAAAGGCAAAAACAAATATCAATCCTGAAGCATCCTTAAATGTTTATATATTGATATAAGAAATACCGATAAAGCAGTTATATCACCGTAAGGATTGAGATCAAGTCTCATTACAAGTTATGGTGTAGGAAAAACCAACAATTGCTATTTTAATATTAAGTTGCACTTTTTCTATGCAGGTGATCAGATACTTGTTATAAAAAGTATTTTCAATCTTTTTGACTTTAATTTATAAACTATTATAATAATTTTAAGTATGTTTTATGTATGAATGCAATTAATTGAAATTAACTTTAAAATTTAGAAACGAAAATGTTTATAGTTATTTGTGACTTCAAGAAAGCTTAGTACTTATGTTCATAGTTTTTGTATACCAAAGCAATAAATAAAATTTATATCATCTCATTGAGTCTTTGCCTTGATGTGAAATATGGTGTTGATTTCTGTTAAATTCCCAATTATTTTGAAACCCACAATTCCTAGAATAAAATGCTCATTTACTAAATGGTATAAATGTTAAAAGTTGTACCTACTTACTGAGGGATGCAGTTGCAATGTGATATGATTTTGTAAATATTTATTATGCAATTAAGTGTATTGTAAATAAAATAAAAAACATTATAATACTTTTGGGTTTTTTATTACTTTTATTCTTTTCTATTCATCTATAGATGTTAAAACTTTGCTCTTCCCCTGTTTTTTATATTTGTATAGCTTCTCTTTTCTTCTTGATTTCCAATATTTTGTTTCTTCTTTTGACAAAACATACTCACCAGTCAACACAACAGAGTTAATTTTATCTAAAACGGAGAAACAAAATAAATTATACAACACATTTCATAAATTTTGGTATAGGAAATAATAAAATTGGTCTTTGAAGAAACCAAAGTCGTATTAATTTATAATGTATGGTATATACTTTATTCTATACAGATGAAGTTGTTTAATTGCTTACACAACAGATTTAATTTTATCTAAAGCGCAGAAACTAAAATCCAATTATAGAACACATTTCATAAATTTTGCTGTAGGAAATAATAAAATTGGTCTTTGAAGAAATCAGTCATATTAATTAATAATGTATTAGGTATATAAATTACTATATGCAGATAAAGTTGGTTAATTGCTCAGTGTCTAAAGCATTCGAGCTGTGTTCTTGACGCAACTTATAAATGACCAGCTATAAGATGTGTGATAAAAAATGTATCATATAAGACTACTCTATACTTCAAAAGACATGTTTAATTGCTGCATGCATGCTAGAATTTTCACTCGTTGCATCAATTGACTCTAATGATAAGTTCATAGCCATTATTACTTCCTTTTCATTGAGGAGGTTAATAACTTTCCCTGGCTTCTAGTAGTGTTGTCAGTGACCAGTGGATCTTTTTGGTAAATTACTCCATTACTATCTGTTTCATCTGCTACTAGACATCTGTCTGCCCAGAGAACATGAAATAAAGTGAAAATACTTATATAAACTTACCACTATCATCTAAATGTACATCATCAACTTTTTGCTTGTTCCTTTCAATCTTTTTTGCTTTTGCATTATGCACTTCAGTATATGTATCTGGGATTTCTTCGCATGATAAGAAGTTTACTGAATCCTTGAAGAGTTTAACACCGCCCTTTATTTTTCTTTTTCTATGGAAACAATAATGATAGCCTCATTAATATGCAGTTTCATAAACAACTTCTACCATATTATACAAGGTTTCACAAAAACTTTGATCAGGCGCTTATCATTACAAAGCTGTCAAAATTCATGCTTGGGCCTCTGGGAGCATACCGCATAATTATTTTGTCATTAACCTTATTACAGATTAAAATGACTGCTTAACAATCTAAATTCATATAATTTTTTTTAAAACAATATATTTTTTTTTAAGTTGATGAATTTAATATAATTGTGATGTAGAGGAATTGATAGTTGGTAGAGTAGGCCCATCATAACCTGAAGCCGCATGGAGATGCAGCCAGGGAGGTCGAATGGGTGGGAAAGACAAGGAGAGGAGAGGACGGTTTAGTAATAGTAAGAGGTGAAAGGAAGAGGAGAGGAAAGGAAACAAAACAGAAAATATATATAAGGTTTAAAGGATGGGAGTAAGAGTGTAAGAGAAAAGGTTTAACAATCTTGCATGAAATACAGCCATTGACAAAATACAGTGTAATAAGTGTCTCACAGACAGACGCTGACTACATAATATTCATGTTTATGACTGTTACTGGTATGAAATATTAATTTAAAATGTAAGTTTAAGTTTTTAAGTGTGGCGTTTAAATGTAAGTATACTATAAATTTATAATATTTGATGGAAAGAATGTGTATATACTCACTTTATTCCATTTTGTTCAATATTAACAAACTCCACTTTTTTGTTGATAATAGCGGATATTTTAGCGCCAATCTTTTTCTGCATTTCCTCAGGCACTTTGACATCATTGTAATGGCTAGCTTCTTCCAAATATCGCTCAGATTTATGTTTTATATTTGCGTCTGAAAAATACATTAATTCAGTAGCAATAAAAACTAAAACGAATAAAAAGATTAAAAATAAGAAGAAAAATGAATACTAATAAAAATCAACGCTCTAAACATTTAAAACATACGAACTACTTTTCGATTCAGTTTGCGTCTTTCCTCTTGATTGATCAATAAGTTTGGTAAAAGAAGTGTCTACAGCTTCTTTAAAACGAGACAAGTCTTCATCTTCTGATGAATCAGACATAATTCAGAAGTAACACGACAGCGATGACAATGAATTCTTGATTTAAAGCTCAGATTGCATTCCACATTCCACTTATCTAATCCATTGTCTATCTCTCTAACAACCCAAACAACACGTGCATTTGTTATGACATTTCAAAATTATTTTCGCACGTTTACAAAGACTCATTTTCGTTCTTAGTTACTTTATTACCCAATAACACAATAATTAAAATGTGATATAGAGGCATGAAATGAATATAAACAAAGACTAAAGATACTTGCCGTCGTGGTAGTAAATAAGTAGTGTTAAACCTACGTTATATGAAAATAAGAGTGTGCCTAAGTTGTGTAATAGGTTAATGACGTTAACAGTACCAGGTTAAAATAAAACATACCCTGTAAACATCTTCATTTGTCTCACTCAGCTGATAGCATAGAGTATACTAGTATGATAGTGTCAGGCAATCTTGTTTCTGTTCCGGTCTTTATTGATACATTTACTGTTAACATTGCTAAACATTATAAAGTAATACCTAATTATTGAGAATATGATTGTACGTATACCTGTAAACATTTTGCAAACTCGAAAAAGAAGTTTTGTTTTATAGGTTAGAAATCGGAAACATCGATCGAGTACTATATTAAAGATAATGTAGTGATTTTGTGTGCTCTTTTATTTTAGTTCAAATAAAATTGTATGAAGAAGAATAAGAAAAATGTCCGAATATACAAAACCACCCCTAGACCCTGATCTGGGTAAATTTTTAGAGAGGAACGATTATGATTCTCTGGCCAAGTATCTTGTGGGAAACAACAGCAGATTTCGAGAAAATATAATTATTCCAAGGGTATTAGGGCCTGTCATTATTAAAACGAACGAAGAGAAAATGATAGAAGCCACTGTAGAGAGCTGTCCATTCAAATCATTAACCAGTTGCATTATTGGTGAGTACCAAATATGATATTATTTTATATTGTTTTTCAAAACTAAAAAGTATCACATACATGTCAATAAATTATGTATATTATCTTATCAGGTTATGGGTTAGGAGCAGCAGTTGGTTTATTTACATCTTCACTAATGCCTAATGTTACGGACACAACTGCACAGCAAACTCAAACAGCCAGAGAAATATTGAGAGAAATGAAGGGATCAATGCTCAGTTATGCCAAGAACTTTGCTATTTTGGGAGCCGTTTTTTCTGGTGTGGAATGCTGTATTGAAACAGCTAGAGGAAAGACAGATTGGAAGAATGGAACATATGCTGGTGGCATAACTGGCGGATTAATTGGATTAAGAGGTAAATCTTAGAATTTTACTTAACTTTTTCACTGGATAGTACCACTCTGAGTTTGCAATGATGCAAGTGATATTTTTTTATATTGCAAACTTCTATAAGCTATGGTGGCTGCTAATCATCAGGTGGGCCAAATGCTTGTACGCCACCCTTTCAATACAAAAAAAAACTATTTTTGAAACAATATTGTTATGAATCTTGAATACAGAACATATTTCTTTTTTTCAGGTGGTCTTAAGGCAGGATTATTTGGTGCTGCAGGATTTGCAGCATTCTCCACTGCTATTGATTATTATATGCATCAACGTGGTTGATAATTTATTAGCTGTTGTTTCTTTAATAAATAATTTAGTTAAACATGTTTTCATTACTTCAAATCAAACTTTATAAAAGCTAACAATAACAGTCTAGTCTAGACCACACCAAGAACTTTTATTTTTATTCCTCAATATTACAATAACCAAACTGAATATAATGTACTTCATTTTCAGTTCATTAGTATTAGATAAGATAGGCAACGATATGAAATACCCTAGATACACCACGTGCGCTCAAAATGTGTCCTAATCAAGAAGTGCTTGAACACGATTAAGGCACTTCTTGATTCACAGTCACGCGCGGACCGTTGAAAAGTCAACATGCCGCTGAGCTACGTGAAAAAAGGCGAAAGAAATACATAAAGAATGTAAAATGTCGTTTTTTCAACATGTATCTAATCAATGCTTGTTAATTTAGCGCATTTGAAGTAAATTTTGTTTTAATACTTACTATGAACTGATTTATTATAAAATATCTGTGTAATACAAATGCATGGTCGAAAATATAGTTTCTTTTTCTCTTGGACCGTACCTGCTATATTACTAACAGCGCATTCAAAATTGCGCCTACAGTCAAAGAAATAAGGTCTTTATTCTAGTTTATTCTACTTATTGCATAAAGCAAGAAGTCGTAAAATTTTACGAGCTTACATATCAGATTGTCATAACTCTATGACGCGTGCGTTTTAATTAAGACCTTATGTAGTATGCTTTAAAAGTGATTTTCAATGTTTAAATAATGCCTTATATTGTTTAGACTACGCGATCATCTTACGGAGCTCCGTGGATCGTCCAATGTACCTTGTAGACAGGTTTCGGGCATGATTTTGTTCGTGTTAGTGTATCTAGGGTAATTAATATCGTTGATGATAGGGAATTATGATTAAAAATTAAAATCCTAAAAGTGTTTGGAGGTATTTTTTCATTAAAATCCAAGTTATAGAAAATTGTAAGAAAATGCATTAAAATCCTAGGTCCATTGTAGCCTTTCTTTCAGTCTGGCAGCACTGGCTGTAATGGCTTAATGACACTCAGTCATTAGCACGTGTTCGGATGTACGAAAGTCATTACTAGAATTCCGGCACCCAAAGCAATATTTACACTGAGATACGAGCTAGAAGATGGTGTCTGGTAACCAAAACGTAAACTACCCGAATACGGCCGTACTCGACTCATTTCGTTTAACCGAATTCCATTGACAATCGTATTCGGGCTAATGACCAAATGTAATTGAGCCATAAGTATACCATGGACTTCTTGAATTGGTGACTTATCGACAAAACGGGAAGAATAAGATATATAGCACAGAGGCCTTTTATCACTTTTGAATATTCTATAAATATTACAAAGGTGACAACTTTAAAAAAAACTGGCAAAATTAAAATGAAAGGCGTCATTATTTTGTTTAGAAAAACTAAGGAAGAAAATATACCAATTTTGACCCTCTTTTTTTGTATATAAAGTGAGTGTAAAATATTAATGTCAGATTACGAAAAGTCCTATATCTATGAAGACACCGCATGGTTTCTTTTAGAGATGTAACGACTCGACTTTTCAAACCGGTTTGAGCATGGACCGAGTTGAATCGGTTAACGTCTTCGTAAACCGGTTCTACCGTGGCATTCGTTCGTATCGCGCTGCGCGCATGCGCGCCTGTCAATTCTTGTTTATGCCGCCATCCACAAATCGCGTGCGGCTCCTGACGTGCTTTACCGACCCTTGACCGACCAATACGAACCGACTTACAGCAGAGGATACGGTTAGCGCGCATCGTCAATTTAAATCAACAGCCATAACCGACTTACCGACCGAACCGAAATGAAACGGACTCTGGTAGATTTGACTGACTTGACGGTGTAATTTTGTTTTCATTATTATGTAATATGCGACGTAATTGCCCAGCTTCTAAAAAAATAGACCAAATATTATTCCTAAATAGTTGTAAGAAAACTTTTTAATTAAGTTGTTTGTACCAAATTAAGTTTCTACGACTCAAATGATTTTACAAAAATAAGTTACGTATTTATTATATTGTTGATTATTAAAATTGTATTTTATTTTCAAAGTTAAGAAGTACGGTTTTATGTAATTAATAGAGTTTATATATTTTTTTGTAATTTTTTAAACACGGTATTACATAGATATTTAACAAAATATGTAGAATTAAAAAAAATTAGCACCTGTTGTTTCGTAAGTCTCATTCGTCAACTCGTCAAACGGTTCAAACCGGTTCAAACCGCGGTTTACTGAAATTTTGGCGGTTCGGTTCGGAAACCGATTTGCATGTATTACTAACCGATCAAATCCGGTTTGTCAAAATTCAAGACCGTAACATCACTAGTTTCTTTCCAGCAGTACTATGTGGTAGAGTAAGGCACTTTATCACCTACCAACGATTTCATGATACTTGATTGATCCATGCTTTTTATAGTCCATAGATTTCTACCATGGACGTACAAAAATAAAATTGACATCGACAATCGACATTGTATATTTAGCTTGGTAACATTGTTCTATAACTGTGGCAACTGGTGGCAACTGACAGTTTTTAAAAAATCGACGAAGCAACGAATTATCATGAACGATTGATTTTTTGTCGATTTTAGTGTCGAAGTGAATTACCAGAGCATTGGTTTGCTCTTTTTATTAAGGTGTGGATTATTGAATTTTGATACCTCACTCTGTGATATCTCTACACTCTCTCTCTCACTTTAGTAGTTTACAAAGCATACCTTAGAAAATATAGAATGAAGGATCCTTTTGCAACCGATATCTCCGACTCTCCGGCTCACAGTTTGAAGAATATAGATGGTTGTTACAATAAAAATATATTTAAAACTAAATCATTTGCGAATTCACGTCGTGCCTTGCAGTCTGGCGCCGATAAAATCTCGAGAACCTTCAGGAGTGTGAAGAATTCTTTCGGGAACTTATCACAGGTAAAATGAATGATTATACAGGGTAAAATAAATATTTCTACCGTTTACACACATTTTTATCGCAATAGTTGACAATAATCACAACAGTTCATAATTATTTGGGACTATCAAACGCCAAAACTGTAGGTATTGATTTTAAAATTTCGAAGTTTTCCGAGAGAATGTGTCTAAATTGTGTAGTTTCATAAGTTGCTTTGTTGTAAAATAGATTTTAAAATTAGAATCTTATGTTTCAAGTGTATTTGTATTGTAAAGAAGTATGATGTTCAATGAATCATACACCATATAAGTTTAAATGAAAATATTAAAGTATTGTTTTTTTTTGCAGCATTTCAGGTTAGGTGCCAGGAGAAGACATAGACTCACTGATGCAGGGTCTCCATGTCGCACCCCATCAACACCAGTGACTAAAAAAAAGTCGGTTAGTATCAATATATCTTTAAATAGATCAATATCAAATCTCATTTACTTTTACCCTGTAGGCCTATGGGTCTCTAAAACTCACTATATTTTTGTAGTCTTAAAGTTCAAGACATTAAGACTGGTAAATATGTAATAATGCTGAAGGTTCCTTCAAATTCTATGCTACTAAATTTAGATGTCATTAAATTTTAATACACCAAAAAAATCTTTAGAAACTTAGTACCACTATTTGTTAAAAAGAAGAAAAATTAAAAATATATACTTTAACAAAAACTATTTTTATTTCTATTTACTGAAATAGAGCTCTACCTTACTAAAGGCTATCTCTAGCATAATGAAATGCTCAGCTTTGTGACAAGTATAATCATCATCATCGGCCTATTAATGTCCCTACTGCTGGGGCACAGGCCTTCCCTATGGATAGAATAGGGAGATTGGGCCATGACCCACCAAGCAGGCCCAGTGCAGATTCGCCAGTGCTTATGACTGCAGAAGCTCACTGGGACCAAGAGGTTAACCACAGAGGAACTCCAGATAGAAGATTTTTGGTCACCCATCCATTGACCGACCACTGCGAAAATTGCTGAACTTCAACGGTTGCAGCCGAACGCGCTAACCTCCCGCGCTCCTCAACTGCAAGTATAGTTCCTTTCAAAAGAACATTAGTCTTAAATTACCTTCACTAAATTATGATATAATACTTGTTTATAAAATACTATGTTATTTCATCAATAAATATGATTCTATTGTGTCATAATTAACCATTTTCTTTTTTTCCCTTCCAGATATTAGCTAGGAGCCCAACCAAGCTGTACAGCCCATTTGGAATTGAGACACCGCACAGCCGTGACTTCAGAATGACTCCATATATGCCTGACACTCCAGAGCATGGGTATGTATAATTTTTTTTTATGAATCTTAAATTTTTTATATAAATTCACACTTTGGTATGTTTCTTTGTCAAAGAAAGGAAAAGGATAAAGAGTGACTAAAATGAATTCTTAAAAGGATCCAATTTATTAAAATCTCACTTAAGTTGCACAACCTAAATTGAAATGTTTGGTTAAAGTACCTCTCAGGTAAAAATTGGTTGCACCAATTGACAATAGTTAATATTAAATCATAATTCTTAGATAATATCATTAATCTGAGTCATAATTTTGATAGTGACAATAACTGTACCAGCGCTGCCAGTTAAAGTTATAGTAAAATTTAATTGGAATTGACCAGTATAATGGAAGAAAAGTGTGCTAGGATTTATGATGGAACCATTGTGTGGATCTAAGTGGATGTAGGGAAAAAGCTCTTACAAAAGGTTAATGCTTCACCTCAAGTGGTTTTTAGTGTCCGGCCGAAAGTTCGGTTTCGGTTTTGGCCGAGTTCAGCCAAAAATTAAGTTTCGGCTGCAGTTTCGAAAGTTGTCGTGCACGCTCGCCTTACTTCGTTTCTCGCACAGCAGTCCATAGGCTATATTGAGAACTGCAGTTTCGTAAATTGAGATAAAAGATATTGATGATTCTTCTTAGTACAAATACAAACCAAAGTATTAATTAATAAGATTTAAAAATACCAATGGGTATTTAATGAAACAGTAATTTTAATCTTGACCACGTGAGTTTCGGTTTCGGCCGAAACTGAAGCCACGGCCGAATATTATGTTTCGGCCGGAAAACCAGTTTCGGTCGGACTCTATTCATTTTATAAATAAACAATTACTTCTTTCAAGGTTGTCACCCAAGCGACGCAAAGGAGTCACGCATTCGTGGCATCTCTTAGCAAAAAAGAGACCCAGAGCCCTATTCCACTGAATGTATTTTCTATAATGTAACTACAAACGCACAAAATGTATCCCACCGCTTAATATAATAGTTATGCTTCATGAAGTATGTTTATCATACATTTGTATGTTAAAATGATGTATATGATGTACTGGCAGCAAATTAATATTTAGGAAATGCAGTTTTCAACTATATGTTGATTTTTTGCTATCAGTACAGATTTAAAAGGTATGCAATTGGTGCTATATTTAATGGTGAATATTCTCAAAGTTTGCAGGCAAAGGCAGCATTGTGATTGTGTGATCGACATTTTGTCGAGAAAGGCTGAAGCTATAGTTAGGCACTAATCAAGCATATAAAATATCTTTAATTATAATTTTTCAACTATGAAGCAATTGCGTGTACTTCACGCAAATTTTAGATTATAAGTGGTGTATGCAATTTTTTCACACTATTACCATCTAGTTATATTATAATTTTACCTATTTGTCGTTTAAGATATCGAACTATCGGTCAAATACTCAAATGTGTTTTATAAATAGTATGATACTAGAGTCTTACATAGAGAAACTTAAGTGAACCTTCTCTCGAGTGCAATGTCATTTCATTGTGTGTTTCGTCTTTGTCAGATGAAAATTATATTTTTATTCTTTATTTCAAACTAGTGAGAAACCAGCTTTGTACTAATGAGAAGTTCCAATTCGATACACAACACCACCATCCCCGTTTCATTGAATATGCTGATGAAGCTAAGTTGGTTTTCCAAAATAGTTCTTTCATACAATTCTTGTGGTGATAATAAAGAATAAAGCAAAAAAATCCAATTTAGTGAATGTGAGCAATGACTTTGAGTAAAATTAGTGATAATTGGAAGTTATTGCTCTCTGTTTATCCATAAAAGAATTGAACATGATAAAAAAAGTTTTACTGTTACATTCCAGGCAAACATGCATGTAGCATGTATATGCTTACCATTCCATAATCATAAAGGTATTATTATGAATGTCTTCCGACACTCATAAAGATTTGGGTTTGGCTACGCGGATGCAGATTGGGCCAGCTGTCCTATAGATCGTCTTTCATATACCGGATTCTTCTATTCTATGACTGGAGGAGCCATTTCATGGGAGAGTAAAAAGCAAACCAGTATTACTATGTCTTTGAGTGAATCCGAGTATATCAGTTTATCTAATGCTGGCAGAGAATCTCAAAGAATCATATAGAACACTTTTAATTTTGAGTATTCGACTGTTGACCAGTCAGTATTTAGGGATGGCCAAACATATTATTCTATTTCTATATTCTAATTGTATGTTCAAAATTGATGATGTGATTTTTGTACAACAGACTACGCTTCGCTATGACAATATTTATTGTAGTACGCTTAAGTGCTTAGTTAAGGATAAATTGTGGTATTACTTTCCTAATTATACATTGCTTTGTATTAAGATGTACTTAAGTCACTTTGGAAATGGCGTGTTAAGTTTGATATGAACACTATCCTAGTTATTTAGGATTTCAAAATTACGTATATTATGTATACCAACCTCAAGAAAAGTCAATCAAATTTAATGGTTGTTAGTTTTTATTACAGCGATAAATTATGACAGAATCATTATGATTATCGATTAGCAGTCGTCATATTTAATCAAATAAATTGATTTGTCAGAATGCGTAATTTAGGAAGTATTATACCTACTGAAGTAATTATTTGGATTTTTAGCCATAAAGAAATGTAGACGATGAAACTAGTGAGGAATCTATAATATGCCAATGCCAAAAAAAAACAATGATTTCTGGAAAATATCCATAGCTTATGTGTAATAATGATATGAGTGCCAAGTTGGTCAACTGTAAAGACAGAAGATATCATAATAATATTTATAAATGTAACAGTTTGTAAGTTTGCTACTCTATGACGTAAGAGCTACTGAACGGATTTGGATGAAATTTGGTACACATATACTTTATGACCTGGATTGAGACATGGTATACTTTAATCCTGGAAAAAAAATGTTTCAATGAAAACCCGAGCAGATGATGATGAAAACCTGTGAGATGTTGATTTTACATAGGACTGCTATCCATAATTTTTTTTGTGTAAATAGAAAATAAATAAACCATAAAGAAAACAGTAAAAAAATATTCGATTAAATTGGCATCTTTAATTTTTTATTAACAGTAGACAGGATGTGTGGTAGCCCTAGTTAATTTTCCGGTAGCATTGTTAGTTTAATGTATTTTGTACATTAAGTATTGCTAAAGACTGATTGTCTGTAGAATTATGTTTATTTTTTATATTAAGATACCAGTTATATATTATGTACCTATTACAATATTGTAAGAAAGGCAGCATGATGATCAACTAAAGTCGACACTTCACTTGGTTATTCGTATTTGCTATTTGTAAAGTAGACAACAAATCTTGCTTTTATAAAGAATGAAAAGGACAGACTAATGGCAAGGTTACAAGTAGCAAACACGAATAGCTAAGCGAAGTGCCGGCATAAGAGTAATATAAAAACGTTCGAAATTATGAGCGATTCATACTGGCACAGAGTCAAGCGCATCGAAGCGTCATTCAAAAACGTATCATAGCAGATTCATCCTTATCACCGCAAAGTAATGTACATATTCCTTAATTAGCGTTTGTCACACGCAGCACTCAAATTCCGAGTAATGGGCGTGAATTCCCGCGTTTTCGTTATCACATCGCATCACTAGGAATATGTGCTTTACGTTGCGGGGATAAAGGTGAATTTGCTTTGTTACGGTTCTAATTGACGCTTCGGATGAATTGAACATTATCATTAATCCTTTGCCCGCATTTAATGAATCTCCTAGCGTTATAACTAAGAAGAGAATAGAAGAGAAGACAAGTATAAATAAATACTTCTGGGTCAAAAATACGCCGAAACTAAAATCATTGAAACTGCATTTTAATAGCAGTACAAGCTTCGCGTTTCTCGAACCCCCTTATTAATAATCGAAGAATAAGCGTGGATTAATTACTCTATGGTTAGTCTGCTCATTGATTGACAAATGGCATTTGAGTGATATGAACAAAACATGACGTAACTACTCTAAGCTTAAACCTCGTTTATTAAGAAGAGAGTAGCCATAGCGACATAGCACTATTCAAATCGATATGCCATATTTTGGTATATGCACGAAAATGCAGTTCAATGTACATGCCGTTAAATCCTGCACCTGCATTCGCGACCCTGGTGGCCGTGTCGAATTCTTTCTAGCCTTTCTTAAGCTGCAAAGCAGCGCCATCATAAGTTAACCCACAATGTCAAATGGAATACCTTTACAAGTATTAAACATTTGAAAGAAGAAATAGCAATTATAGTTATAATTTTCATTTTCCAAACATGTAGGTAACTGCTAGATGTTTAAATCTAAAGAAAATATTACTAGAAAAAAAATCTACGCGGATCAGGCTGCAGAATGCACTGATCATTATGCTACCGAGACCCTGATGGCCGTGTCGAATTCTATCTTGCCTCTAAAGCTGCATGCAATTTAAACGTCTTTTTTATTTTCTTGGTCGTTAAAGTGGCTGGTTCCACATAAATATTGGATGGATTAGGGAGGAAAGCGATATGTAAATCGGTGCCATTTTTCGCGTTTTTTTTAAATTCTCGAGGTGGAATCCTATTGTGGGAGCTAGACAACACTAAATGTACGGTACAAAAGTTCATAGTAACGGAGATAAATAAATAACTGTATGGAATATTTTTCCTAGATATTTTTACTCCCGACCCCATCGAACTCGTTCCATGACCAATGAAAGTAGACAGTTATTTAATGTCCTTTTGAATTCTATCAGATAAATTATATCGAGTGGATTTATTAATGTTCACTATTTGCATTAGTTATGTTAAACCAATTGGGATGATGACTACTTTTTTTTCTTCGTTTATCAGGTAGATTATCAAAAAGTATTGGACACGTATTTTTTCTTTTTTCACATAATTTAAACATTGCAGAGATATATTGGTTTGAAAATTCGTATGACGTCACGTTTTACAATTTAACAAGTACAATTTTCACTCAAAAGTGACGTCACGAGCCCCTACTCCAAAACTTTGACGCGCTATAACTTTGTCATTTTTTGGTTGATTGCCCAAAGAAAAAATACGTGTCTATTATTTTTGGATCATCTAACTGACGGACTAAATAGAATTTCGTTTACTGTACCCCGTCATCACCCCTAACGATATCAACCAGTTACTACTAGATTAAAGGTTGTAAATTAGATTTCGAAAATATTTTTCTCATAGATTTACTGTTTTACGATCAGAAGGTCTAAGTAGCTATACGTCCAACTCTCATATGGGCTGTATAGCAGTACGTCTATTTAGCAAATCGTAATTATTAAAATGTGCACACTCATGGCAGAATCCTTTCTGTGTTACCCTATTCTTTTTCCCAAATCCTTGGTCCTTGTACTTGCAAAAAGACCATCCACAGCATAAGCAGAGTTAAAAACAATAAACAAGCCCTCACCGAACAAACCTAGACAAGAAATTTCGGACACAAACACCAGATATTTGCCAAATCTTGAGGGAGCCATCACCGAAGAAATCTAATTTATCTGATATAAAAAAGTGTCTGTACAATTTTTGATATTAAAAAGTGTGTACAATTTTTTGTGTTTGCGATCTTGCTAAAAGGCTTCGCATCTTAGAGTTTTGAGTAGCAGGATTAGCTTTGATTTTTTTTATTATTGTTGTGTATGTAGCCTATGCCAACTGCCAACCTTCGAGTGCATTGATTGTGTGTAAGTTTTATTTGGTAGGACAGTTTAATATATCTGCTGGAGACAGCCATTGTCTTTCAAAGTAAATGTAATGTAAAAATGACATGTATTTCGCTGGTTCATGCGTCATGCTCGTGAACGGGTAGTGCCAAGCCAATAGAGAGGATTCTGCTCAATACGACCTTAATATAAAAAAAATATCTAGTTATACCTAATATAAGTAACACTATTTGTATTATATACAGTATGACACAGCAATCAA